GTGAGAGATACTGCTGGGCTATGAGGAGGGACTCCTTCAAATCAGCCCTTTGAAGCCACATAAGCATAAAAAGGCCGACTTTAAGGGCCTCCAAAACACAGCTTCAACTGTGACACGAAGAGCAATGTAGCACAGGATTGTGCAACACCTTTTGCAAGGCCTGCTCGTAGGAATGCAACCTTAGCGAAGGCAGATCATCATCATAAACCTGCTTGCTGTTCAGCCCATGCAATAAAACATGGTGTGGATGCTGCATTGGCTTAGTAGCCTCCAGTGAATCGAGACTGCACCCAGCTGTTTAGCACAGAGAACCTGGAACCAAGGCCGGTGGAGGAGATGTCACTCTTACTGATGGTACTGGACGCTAGAGACCCTCTAGAGGGAGCCCCAGGCTGGCTGGATTGGCTTCCTGAGGAGAGTGTTCCTCTACAAACTCGCAGGGCTCCTTGTTAGGGCAGAACTTCTCAATGAGGGCGCCAAGGCTGTGAGCAACCTCCTTCATGTCGGGCCGCCGAGTGCCCGGCATCTTGACGCAGTCCAGAGCGAGGTCCGCCAAGGCCACTATGGCCTCCTCGCTTGCTTCCAGCTTGCTGTCCTTGAGCTCATCCAACTCAAACGCCTCCACCTTCGCTATTGCCTGAGGTGAATGGACGCATCATAGTGCGATACAAATCAGATGTTCGCTCCATAGCAGACAAAAAATGACCTCACAGTTCACATTTCCATTGCACGTACCCAATGTCTGATGTGTGACTGGTTGTGTACTGGTGGCGAGCCAGTTAACAGCTCCAGAAGCACGATGCCAAAGCTGCGGCAGGTGTGAAGCATGAAAACATACACAACCTTCGATGCAGGTTAAAAGATGCAGAGGAAGGAATTGCAAGATAAATCAGGCGGGGCTGTAAACAAGCATTCACTCCAGAAGCAATCCAACCTGAAGACATCACTCATGGTGGTAACCACGTGTGTGCGGTTGTAATCTGGGTCCACATAGCCGGGAGTGCCCGCCACTCTTGTCGCATCCCCCTCGCAGTGGGTGAGGAGCTTCAGCAGCCCAAAGTCAGCCACCTTGGCGTGCATGTCGGCCGTCACAAGGATGTTAGCGGGCTTGATGTCGCGGTGAATGATGGGCGTCTCAAACCCATGCAGGTATGCCAGCCCCTCTGCTGCTCCTTGTGCCACTCGCAGTCGCTGCCGCAGTGAGAGAGGGCCTGGAAGAGAGAGTCATAGAAGGACGTGCAGAGAACAGAGAGAGCGTTGTGAGGTGTACTGCAAGTGTTCTGAGCTGAGAGATACATAGTGGTTTTTCATATAGCGCTTCTAACCTGCTGACCTTGGGAAAACATGTAACCCAATTTTCAGGCACGAATCGTAAAACTTACTTTTTCTCTTGAAGATGTGGTGGTGCAAGTCTCTGTTACCCACAAACTCGTACACCAAGATCTGCTCCTGCTTGCCCGTCTCCACATTGTGATCCACACAAAAGCCCAGCAGCCGCACCAGATTCACATGGTTGAGCGTCGCCATGGCTCGCACCTGCAGATGATGCATTCAGAGGGAAAACGAGGAGAGGGTTTAGCCCTGGATATGCCTTTTGACTATGCATCTTGGGGAAGGCTCACTCCTCACTGTGTGAGAGGATGTCTCACCAGCAGCGCACAGTGCAGCAGCTCCCAGGTTGGGCCTCACCTCTGTCTCAAAGTCGTTGGTCATGACAGTGGAGCGCTTGATGGCCCACAGCTGCCCCTGTGGCGAGTACCCCTTGTACACGATGCCAAAGCCGCCCCTCCCCAGCTCGTTCTCCTTGGACCAGTTGTCTGTGGCCCTCACCATCTGCTGCAGCGAGTACTGCTCGCACACTTCCAGCCCCTGCCACTTCTCTGCACAACACAACAACACACGCACGATGAACCATGGGGCGGGTGAGAGGCGGAGGGAGGGATAGGAGCGGAAGAATGGAGGAAGGCCAGGAGCAGAGGAAGAGGAGTGCAGGAGTGCAAGAGTAACGCAGCATGGGCGCGAGGGTGGGGGTCTCACTTGGTCCGTGGGGCCACAGCAGGCATGTGAGCACAGCTGCCAGCAGAACGAAGCCAGCAAAGCAGCCCACAGCAATGCCCACTATGGCGCCCGTGGAGAGCGACGAGACTGCCGAGGAAGAAGGGAGAGGGAATGGCAAAGAAGTGGTTGCTGTCATACAGTAAGATGGCAAAGGTAGTGTTGGGGTGAAGAGGAGTTGACAGAGGTATGGTGGCATAGGGCAAGTAGTTGGGGGAGGAAACATCAATGAAGATGGGTGGGGAACACATCCAATTCAAAGAGGATCAGAAATATGGAGAAAGATGGCAACGAAGTGTAGCCACATTGTTAGTGAGGATGTGCAGACAGGCATACTCATGCCTACATGTTCTAGTGCTGGGTGGATATTGGATAAACACTGAAATCAAGGTAAACCCTATTTGAGAAGTAGAGTACTGGACCAACTTTGATTTGTTGGTCGTCACATGTGAAGGACAGCCAACTTTAGTGAGTTGTCCTACCACCTCACTTTGGTGGTGGCCAACCATACACAGTTGCCTGCCGTCCAACCAGCCCCACTAGGCTAGTTGGCCCAATGTTCATTCTAGGCTTAATCTCTGCTTCATATCTCTCTTCAATGTATGTCTTTGCCGCTCACTTGAGCGAATACAAATTCTTCTCTTAACTTGAGGATTCCTTCTCTCACCAGTGGTGGTGGTGGAGTTGACGATGGCACAGGTAGAACCGTTGCCCGAGTCGATGGCAGAGTAGCCGGCATGGCAGAGGCAGGAGAAGTTGGAGGGGGAGGCGGGGGCAGGCGGCACGCACTCCCCATGGCCGTCACACGGGCCGTTGTCCGTGATGCTGCAGAACGCCTGGCAGGCTGCCGTGCTGCGCTGGGTGGCGTTGGCTGCGCACTCCGCGCCCGGGCTGAGCGTCAGGCAGTTGCCCGCCACACTCACCCTCGCCTCCTTGCCCGCCCCCGCCATGGAGAAATCTCGCAGCCCAGTGGCAGCAGCAGTATCGCACTTGCCAGCAAACACATCAAAGGTGTCCCCCAGGACGAGGTTGTTGGGCTGGGTGATCTCAGCGGGGCAGACCTGGCAGCCGGCAGCGAGGAGCAGGGCATCACCGAAGAAGAAGTTGTGAGCCAAGTTGATGAGCGCACCGCCATCCGCCACCATGCTCTTGAAGTTGCGGTTGATGCGCCCGTACAGGCTGTTGCCGCTCACATCGCTGGGGGGAGCACGGGGGGCCAGGCGGAAGGCAGAAAATGGGGCTGGAGCATTTGGAGGTAGTCCCATCATATTCTACCACAATGAACCAATGCCTTGCGTCACTCAATTGGACTGACCATGTTGAGGTTGATTGCTGCTGCATGCATGGGACTGGGAATCAATTACACGCGGTTGGCTCACATTTGGTTGATACACTTGTCAAAGAGGCAGTCCGGAAGGGGTCCGTACAGGTAGTTGTTGCTCACCAGGCTGCCAGCAGCCCAACACACGTAATGCCACACTATTCATTAGACTCATACGAAATGGCATAGGCACGGAGATAAAACTGGCTGATATGTTTCCTTACAATTCAAAATCACAAATGAGGAGTGTAACTTGCTTTCAGTTAGCAACAGTCTACTGGAGGATGTTTGGCCATCGGTTTGTGCAAGTGTTTCAACATTTTCAGTCAAATTTCTCACTCCCGTGTGATAGACACGTGGATATGCCCCTGCCACTCACATGCGCAACAGCCACTCACATGCGCCACAGCCACTCACATGCGCAACAGCCACTCACATGCGCAACAGCCACTCACATGCGCCACAGCCAGGGCAGCGAGCACAGGCCAGATGGCAGAGGGCCCTCAATCTTGTTGTTGTCCAGCCAGCTGCGGGGGCAAGCAGAGCAGTGGTAGGAGGCAGGAAGGTGCGGAAGGTGGTTCAAAGAGCAAACTCTACTGACAATAGATAGGGTTTAGGGTGGATTGGCGATGGCACGATTGCGTGTTTTAAAACTTCAATCTTCATGGCAAAACTTTTGAAAAATACGTGTTGCAATAGCGTTTGCTAAACTTGCCTTGATTTTGTTGCACGTAAAGCTTCTACATTGCCAACATTCTCAAGAAATGCTGAGGAAGGCAAATAGCACTCACATCTGTTCCAGCTTCTGCAGTTGACTGATGGCAGCTGGCAGACTTCCACTCAGATGGTTGTTGGCCATGTAGCTGGAGAGGGTAATGGCAGAGAGACGTTGCAATGAGAAGTGGCGTACGCAAGCAAGAGCAGTGAAGGCTGATGCTGGAAAGAATCTTTGGGCAGAGGTGGACACGCTTGATGGGCACTTGGTAAGAGAAGCTGTAAACCCCTGATGCTGACAGGTATTTGAGATTGGTCATGGTGAAGATGGCAGAGGGAATGGTGCCTGTCAGTTGGTTGTTGTTCAGAAAACTGCAGGGCCATGGCAATGCAGTGGGTACATTGGTTGAAGTGCACGGTAAGCATACGCAGCTAAGACACAAGCACCAGTCTCAAAGTTGGCATAAGCTGCCAGCCACTGCTACCTTTCTTCTGCAACTCCAGGCTCAAAGATGGCAATGGGCATGGCAACTCACTGTGTTGTGTTCAGATGAAAATGGTTTTGATGGTCGTATGCTGATGATGACAGGTGCTGAAGGGCACGTTGCAACCCAAGAAGGCTCACATGGCATCGAGGGTGGTGAGTGTGGAGATTGAGTCAGGAATAGACCCCGTGAAGTTGTTGTTGCTGAGATCTCTGAGCCACAACACACGCGAGGGGGCAGCAAGAGCAACTGACATGACTGGAATGACTTAAACTGCTAACCATGGGTGCAATTCAGTGCAATACATGCAAATGGCCAGCACGAATTCGACGGTGTTAGGAACGGGATTGAGCAAGCGATATTGAGAGTGGGACAGGGGGGGTGTCAGCGGGGGAAGGGGAGGAAGAGAGTGTGGGGAGGCTTACATCTGGGCACAGCTGACTTTCCAGCGCGAGAAGTTTGGCAGGGAGCCCGTGAAGCCATTTCCTGCCAGGCTACTGCAGGGTACAATAGGAGAGAATGAAGATTTCAGGGGCATGAAAGTTACGCGCGAAGGGAAAAGCATGGCCCCACACAATGGTGGCAGCACCCAGTGATGGCACCCAGTGGTTGCACCCAGTGGTGGCACCCAGTGGTGGCACCCAGTGGTTGCACCCAGTGATGGCACCCAGTGGTGGCACCCAGTGGTTGCACCCCTTACAGGGTGTGAAGAGAAGTGGGGGCACTGAGAGTCCGTGGGAGGCCCCCAGAAAGGAAGTTGCTAGCTACTTGCCTGTGTTGCGGAGGAGCGGCAACAGAGGGAAGGATTGGCTGTGTTAGGAACACAAGAGACTTGCCAAATCACATGCACGCATTGTGGGCCTCTACCAAACAGTGACCTTGGAAAGAAATTTGAAGGTTCAGGAAAGTGGCAAGATCCAAAACAAATAGCAGGCATGCGGATTCCCTGATTGAGTATTTGGCAGTGGAGTTCTCGCAAAGTTCCATTTGACATACTTTTGTCAGGGATACTTGTATACATTTCTATGCATACTCAGCAGGGGAAAAGGTTGAAGAAAAATATTTAAAAACAGGGGTGATGGAGCTGTTGAGCGACTTACAGCGAAGACAGCAAGGATAGCTGAAACAGGCCGGATGGAATAGTTCCACGGAAGTTGTTTTCATTGAGATTACTGGGCAACGGTAGAGTATGGTATCAACAGCATTAAAAGTTAGTAACCTAACATTTCCACGTAGAAGGCCAGAGCATGGGCAGACTTGCTACAGGATCCTCAACCCCGAGCCACTACCTTACTTGGCGATCCTTGTTCTCTTTTCATGTCCCGTCCGTTTAGGTCCCATAACGCATCCAGGGACAACCCTTTATTTTGCAAGCTGGTGCACTCACAACTGCTCACAACCTGATGCTGGACCGGGCAACGATGCTACTCACATGTTTTGCAGGCTGTAAAGGTTGGTCAATTTGTGGGGGATGGTACCGGTGAAACTGTTGTTGCTCAGTTCCCTGCCATTGCCATTCCGATTGCGAGTGCCAGATACGTTTTCAGTTATGGACGAAAGAGTGAGCGCAATAATTTGATGCAAATGGCATCATTTCTTCCACCATGAAAAACGCCAGTTTTTGTTTGAGGGGAGAAGCCAATGTTCTACTTACAGGCGTTGAAGGTTCGTGTGGAGCAAAATTGAATGAGGGAAGGTTCCAGTGAAGTGGTTGTTATTTAAAAGTCTGAGGGTTAAGATACATGTGTGCTGGAGAGATGATGAAGCTCATTCATGCAGAAGAGGTGTCTGGAAAAAAGCACACCCATTCAGGTGCAGGCCACTGCCAACGTTTGAGAACAAGTGCGCACAAAACAACGGGTTAGTAAAGGTGTTCATGTGCCCTGCCCATCTAAGTAGGCATATAGGCTCCTGGCTGGGAGCGTATGGCATATACATGCTCCGTATATAGGCCATATGCCATACGCTCGTACATACGCTTTACACTCAACGGAAGCCTTCTTTGTTGTGTTTTTTGCGCGACTAAATCGCCACTCGCTACCGATTTTGACACGCATGTTTGCCAACCCCAATTTGCCGAGCCGAGATAGGGCAAATAAACCCCCAAACTGAACACACCTTCAAATTTACAGCACCTTACTACATTGCACCGCACTACAAGTAGAAACTCCAACCACACATGGAATGTAAAGCCTAGATCGACCAAACCTGGCTCACTACTTGGCCACATTAAGTCGACCTTAAGATATTCACCTGTTACTCTATCGATCAGCCCCTTGCGCCCAGTATATTCCCGTTCAAGAAGTCCTTTTTTTATTATCGATTGTACGGCGGAACCACCTTCTAATGCAGCCACCGACACTAGCAACGCGCAATCCTTCAATGTCTCGTCGAATGCCAGCCGAGCCCACAAGGAGGCAGACCATCATGTGGATATATATATATGCATAATTACAATGGAGAAAAAGGGAGGTGAACTAGTTCTATAAGGGGCCCCAACCCAACACTATTCAGGCACACTTAAAAAACGGGTAGTTAGAACCGTAGCCATTGTTGCATTCCACCAGGTAGGTACGAAGGGGTTGTTAATATGACGAGGTGAGGGGTGGATGGAGCAGACTCACAGAGATGCGAGGCCCTTGATGGCTGTTAAGGACGCTGGAAGCACACCGGATATGTTGTTGTTATCGAGGAGTCTGCACATCCAGGGTTCAGGAAAGTGTCTCAGGTGTTGCAGGGAGCCAAAGTGGACGATGGGAAGTGAGGGAAAGTTACACAAGAGTCAAACGGAGTCTGCTGAGGTGGCGAAGAGGGAATAACACTCACATGTTTGCGAGCCATGTCATCTGAGCCACCACGTGAAGGCCTGAGGTGAGACTGTTGAAACCAATGTCTCTGTCATGTCAAGCAGAGCAGACACACAAATCAGAGGCAACTAGCACTAGCATGGGTGAAGCAGGTGGTGCGACCGGCTCGTGGGGGGAAACAGGGGGTGTGGGGGGTGCGGAGGGGGGGGTGTGGGGGGGGGGGGGGGGGGGGGGTGTAAAAGGGGGGAAGGGTGCCACTAGTTGAGTTTTACTCGACTCGGGACAAGTAAAAAGAGACTCAGGCCAAGTAAAAACAACCCATCCATAGTCGAGTGATGAGTCAGGCACGAGTGAAAACCCGTCTGAGTAAAACTAGACTCGACTCGACAAACTCGATCGAGTCAATGAAAAACAAGACGAGTTTTACTTGACTCATGCTCGTGTACACCTTGGAAAGGCGAATCTCGTTATGACAGCAGTACACAGCAGACTGGAAGAGGTACGTAGCGTGGGAAGAGACATACAGAGTTCTCATGCCAGTGAGCCTAGTGAAGGTGTTGGGGATGCCTCCTGTGAACAGATTGTCAGATAATTGACTGCAGCCAGGACATCCCAAACGAAACATTGCACAGAGCAGCGGAATGAAAGGGACTGGGGCATGAATTAAAAGATGGAGCTAGGCAGAGAGTGCAGGTCAGAGGGGAGCTAAGGGATGAACAGGAATGGAGGTCCAATGACGAGTGTGAACAGAATGTGCCAACATGGAGTATCTCACAGCTCAACGAGGTTGGGCAGTGCCAAGTGTGGTGGAATGGGTCCACCGAAGGTATTGTGGTCCAGGTATCTGGATAGGCAGGTAGACAGGAGAGGCAGTGACTGATTTCAACGTTCACTGCCCGGTTCAAGGGGGAAAGTAGACATGAGCAAGAACCGAACTCAACATCCAGTTCGACTCTAACCAGTTCGGCTTGATTGAACGTATCAACCAATTAGAGTCGGTTTGAGTCGAACCTGGTCCAGTTCAGTACTTGCTCATGTCTACTCCTTCATTTTCCCCCCTCCCCTCCTCCCCCTCCGAACTGGTAAAACCAACCTTAATGCCACAACATATCCTCCCCCGCAAGTCTCAAATCCGCCTGTAAGGATTCATGATCTTGTGTCCAGCTGCTAAACATAGAAATCCAGCTCTCAATTGCCTAGAGACATAGCTCAATAGCTTAGCAAAGTGTAGAATATTCGGCATATTCTGGCGACAATGCATTTCTGCTTATTCACAAGCCCCCCCCATCCTCCTCCCCCACTATCCCCTGTCCCCATCTCCCCCCCTCCTCCCCCCAGTATACTTTGCATGCCCCAAGTTTTCCTTGCCTGCCCGCCTGACCATTTTCATAGCATACACAGTTTCTGGAATTCAGCATCCAGCGTTGGCACCCAAGATACTGGACACGTCAACATAGACTAAGGACACAAAGGTTCAACCAAGCCAACATAGAAGATGGTTCAACAGGGAATGCACGATGGGAAGAGAAGCACAGGCCGCGTGCTGACTCATGTAAATGTTGAGAAAGAAGAGGCTGGTATTGGGGCTTGGCTTGGAAAAGTGGAGCAGGAGCGGAGCGAAGAATGGCATACAGCGTTTGGACGTCGGTGCCGAATACTGGGGGTATAGAACCAGAAAGAGAATTCCACGAAAGGTCTCTGCAATGGAGGGGGGTAGAACAAATGAACCATGGTACAGTGAGTGAGAAGACACAGGGAGTAATCAAAGACAAAATGGGGGTCCGACAATGGAAGGGGGCAGGACGCAGGAATCTTACACTGAAACGAGGGCCGTTAGGGCTGAGTATGTTGCGGGAATGGATCCTCGGAGGTGGTTAGTACTTAGATATCTGGGATGAGAACGAAACAAGACATGCTTGCCAGTTACAGAATAAACATTGGCATGGGGCAACGCACATGGGGTTCATGCTGCTGCCAGCAACATGGTAGTGGGGAAGCATGACACCATGGTACAAATGCTGCATGGTAGCATGGCAGCATGGCAGGAAGGTATGGCAAGCAGTGACTCACAGCTCTTGCAGATTGACCAGAGTGGACCAGCTCTTTGGCAGGTGGCCCTCCAGGTTGTTTCCACTGAAGGACCTGCAGAGCATGGGAGCAGGCAACAGGTGGACGCATGAGTTGTTCACTTGTGGGGATGTACCTTTCTTGCGCCACGGAGACGCCGATACAGCACACATACAATAGAGAACTTGAGATGGTGCATGTAAGGGTGTGTTCATCCATATCGCTTTTAAAGAGGCACACCCGCACATGTCATCTGCGTTTCCAACACCAAACTAGCAGTAAGTACTAACCACAAACGAGGTAGACATGATGCAAACTACAATAGAGTATACTCACCTAGTTAAGAGATTAGTACGAGCATGCATGCTCGCTGCACCCCCATACCTGCGCACGCTGAGCTCACAGGCTGGTGAGTGCGGTGAGCTCAGACATGTCTTCCAGCACCACCCCCTGCCGGCGTGGATCATCCGTCTCCACGCTCCTGCCAAGCGAACAAAGGAAGGCTGTTGAGAGAGTATCCCACTGAGCTTCTCACAGCAATGGCACGTGTCGTTCTCGTGCCTCCGGAGAATGTGAGTGACGAATTGAAACGGGGCAGTATGAGAGTGGAGCAGGAGGAGGTGATGCTCACAGGTACTGAAGGTTGGAGAGATGAGTGACCCACTCGGGAAACTCCAAGGCACGAAGGAAAGATAAGTCTCTGCAGGGAAGAAGGCATGAGCATGTTGCACAGACAAGCGGATAGCTTCTGCCATGTTGGGCGAGAGAATACAAAAGCTGTAACCGTGCGCATGAACAAACTTGCTTCATCTGTCCCATCCTGGATGTTTTGTCCACCTTACAGTGAAGTGAGGGCAGTCAAATATCGGATCTCCCTGGGTATCTCCCCTGTGGCATTGGTGAGCGAAGTGAGTGTCCTGCATTCATGCACATGCAATCAGCAAAAGTGAATCCAGTGCCGCTTGCAGCTTGGTATTGACCACCACCATAACACACTCTATTATGAGAATCAGGACATAAACATTATGCGACACCGTAATGGTTCTTGCAGCTAGACATAGGCATAATCCCGAACCTCACTTCGTTTCGATCCAATCGGTACCAGCCAAAATTGTTCGACACGAACCGACTGCAGTTCGAGTCAAACTGTTTGGTTCGGCCTGGAAGCGCATTGAACTGGCGTTGAACCTCTAGTGTGGCTCGCAATAGCCAGCATATTGTTTGTGTTTATTGTTGCTTCAACTCCTTACAACTTCCCTAGTAGATCTACTCCATGGCTGCCATACAACCATTTTACGGCCATATGACAGCGATTCTAAAGTGAATATGCACTTCTTTGGTGTGTGTACTTGCTAGTATTAGACTAAGGACACTTGGAGTACCAAAGCTTTGCCTTCTTAAATCTTGCGTTTCAACCCTCATTGCTAAACACTAGCGATTTCAACATATTGCGATCGCAGCCAAAATTATAATTGTGATTGCACGCGACTTCGCGGCTTTTACCCCCAAAAAGCAACTGATCTCACCGTTCCTATCTTAAAAGACCCAACCCAATTTACAGCCAAGATTTACCATCCCACCTCAATTCACACCCTTTACCATCAAGAAAACCCAACCAGCCTAGCCTTCTTACTTAAAAAGCCTAACCACCAGCCATTTTTCTCCAAGTTCCAACCCACGCCACAGCCACAATTTGCACAATAGTTGAAAGGAAACTTGGATCAACTGATTTTACTCATTCTTGCCCGTATTGATTTGTCCTATTAAAGTACCATTTTTGTGAATCCTATATAGCTCTTGCCATTTCCGTTTTCAGTGCTCAGGTGGAGTGGAGTAGAAGTTACCCTAGATCCCCTGCCCAAAAAAAAAGTGGTTGCTTACTTGGAAGAGCGTTTTCTAAGCGTTCATCCTAGCCACAAGAGAGCATTAAATGTTTCATCGCTTCAAATGCTAGTATAAAAAAACGCAAATAACGTTCATGATCATTTGAAGATTAGATCACTCGCGTGCCACAACAACGCAATAAAGAAAGCTGCTGCTGAACCAAACATCACCCGCTTTAGTCAAAACTACAAACAGCTTGACCCGACGAACCAGAAGAAGCCTGACCACCAAAGCTGGACGTTGAACATCTGCTGCCCCAAATTCAGTTCGTCTCCAAATGGAACCACTACGTTTTGGCAAACTGAGTGGTTCGAGTCGGTTCGACTCGAAGCACTTCGAGTTTGATTGTTGCTCGTGTCTACTTACAGCTGTTGAAGGTTTCTCATGTGAGAAAGAATGTGCAGGGAGGACAATTCCCCTGTGAATGCCTCCAAGTATTCCAGACTCCTGGTGGTGGGAGGACAGCGAGGCATGCAAGAAGGCATGGGGGAATAGGTAAGCCTGTAAAGGAATATTCGGTATTCGAGAAATATTTGATATTCGTTCAAATACCTGTATTCGAGAAAATAGGAAACGACTGTATTCGAAAGTATTCGCATCACGAGTATTCGTTACTGTAAAATATTCGGGTAACGGATATTCGGGGTAATCGTTTCTATTCGGTATTCTACCATTAACCCCCCCTCATACCTTCCCTACATGCGGCTATCATCTTCGGCAGTCTGTGTCTATGATGAGAAAGACGCTCAGGCGGGGTAGCGTCCCGGGTCCAGACGCTCGCGTTCGGACGCAGGACGCAGCCGGAGACGCTGGACGCTCCGCCGAATTTTTTTCGGGCTGACCGAAAAAAAAATCGTGAAAAACTGACATTCGCGATTTAGATGCGTTTGTTCATTTCGCGAAATCTGCACCCCCCCAAATCGAAATCGAAGGCCCCCAACGCTAGAGGGTTTCCATAATTTTCCTTCATAAGCCCTAGGGTACGTTCCTGGCTCGTGTCATACTTCCGGTCTTCCGGGGATGACACAAAGCTGCCCCACAGTTGGCCCCACTGTGGGTCATCCGAGACCCACTTCGGATCTTCCGGCTAAAATTTGCCCCTGGTCTCGGAAAACACCAAGTTTGACCAGAAGCTTGACACGAGCCAGGAACGTACCCCTAGAGAGTTTCCAGAATACTCCTTCGTAAACCCTGCAGGGTTTCAAGAATTCTTCTTCATAAACCATACAGGGTTTTTACGAAAAATTGACATTACGAGGGCATTTAGAATTCCCATTGTTTGCTATGTCCCCAACCCCTGTCCTTCGGTCCCCTGTAACTTATTATTGCCTGCCCAGAAGGTTTTTTTAGCCTGCCCGCCCCAGCGTCTTTTTAGTGTCCTCTAGGCGGCTGGGTGTGCGTCCAGCGTTCGGACGCTAGCGTCCAGGACACTGGACACGTCCTTCTCATCATAGGTCTGTGTACAAGTGGCCTTGTGAGAGCCGTGCCCAAAACTCAAGCAAGATAGTTACTGGAGAGGGGTTACGGAAAGCGTGTGGTGCGGGATTGAGACGTGGAGAGACATGCATTAGCCGTTCGACACAGCCTAAATATTTTTGTTTATTAGACACTTAATCGTATTCGATTTGGATTCGGCAGTATTTGAATCGTATTCGTATTTGGTTTTGGGTCAGTACTCGAATCGTATTCGTATTCGGTTTTAAGTCAGTACTCGGTCAAATAAGACACCACACAATTCAGAAAAAAAACAAAAATCGTATTCGTTTTGGCTTAGGTAGGCATGAACATTTGGCCCGACCCGACCCGACGACCCGATTTGGGCAGGCTAGGCGGGGTACCGGGTCGGGTCGGGTTGGGTCTCACTGGGCTGGAGACTCCAAAACCCTGGCCCGACCCGGCCTTGCGGGGTCGGGTCAGGCCTGACCGCCCCCAGGTCGGGTTGACCCAGGGGCGGGTCGGGTACTGAAACCCTCTTTCCCTTGCACGCTGCGCAGATTGGTGATTTGATCGGCAGTTTAGCCAATCGATCTGACTTTGCCACTAACTGCATGAGGAAGGCCAAGGACCCCCCCCCTCCCCTTCAAATTTGATGAAACGAAAATATCCAACCAATTCGCCACCGCACTCAATCTACAAGACCCAACCTCCTGATTCACTTTTACATATTTCGACATTGAGCCGGGCCCAACACTAGTGCTATCGTTCAGCCTAATAATACCCTCCATGTCCATTTTGACAGCTAGTTAGTTTAGCTCCGAATAGGCGGGCCGACCCAATTCCTACATATATTACCCGATTCAGGGGGGGGTCAATATCAGGTCAGAACCTAAGTGGAGAAACGCAGGACAAATGCAGGACGCATGTTTGGGGTCCGTGAGACGCTTAAAAATATGCATGGCCGGGCAGGGTAAAACAAACGTACGGGCAGGCAAAAACACATACAGGGGACCGTGGGGGGAGGGGGGAGAGGACATAACTACACATAAACAAGATTTTCCCCACAGAATATTTTTCGGGTATAGGGGTTTACGAAGGAAAATTCTAAGGAATTGGTTGGAGTTTCTAGATGCTGTGCGGTTGTGTTAGTTTGGCTTCAATTTTGGTTGGGGGGTTGGGAATTTTGGTTGAGGGGTTGGTTTTATGGGTCGATTTGGGTTGGGAGGGGTCAATTTTGGCGAAATTGACAGTCGCGACGAAATTGCGAATGTCAATTTCGCGCGCTGGATATTTGTTTTGGGGCTGCCCGGAAAAAAATTACCCAAGCGTTCTGCGTTTTTTTTAGAGTTCTGAGTTTTTTGCGTTTTACTGCACTGAGGTATAGGATAGGAGTATGGGCCGTCTGTAAGGGTTGGAGCAACGTGGCATTCAGGGCATGTAGTGTTTGCAGGGCGTACAATGTTTGCAGGTTGGTGAGGGATGAGAGCCAGGCCAGTCCGTCCAAACTGCCAGTCAGCCTGCTGCCCGCCACTCCTATAGCTCTGAGTACAAGGAGCAATGCCAGGCAAAGAAGTAGTGAAATGCGAGGGGGCAGGGAAACATGTCAGGGCCAACAATTGATGAGTGGGGCAAAATCAGGGACAGAAGATTCTCAAGTATGTAGTGAAGTGGGGAAGGTCGAGAGGTCATTGTTAGCGATAGGCTACAATCTCACACTTTGTACTTGAACTGGAAGAGTGTCGTTCTGGTCATTGTGTGTTGGTTTGGGGATGAGCATGGCCGGGACCCGGGCCTGCTGGGTGTTGGCCTGCTGCTCGTACAAATGTGACGGATGTAGGCCGACCCGCCCAGATCATGCGTACTAATATTGGGGGCATTTCCTCCACCGTTGGGCTTGCTGCACTCCCATCACAGGGGCGCCCTCTCACTCTCTCCCGCCCTTACCTTGTGGTTGGTTCTTCCTCACCCTTCCTCCATTGCTGACCCCCCATTACAGGGGCGGCCTCTCCCTCTCCCCTCATCCCGTTTATCTTGGGGCCGGAACCTTTTCTTCCCCTTCTTCCTTCGTTTTCCCCATCCTTGTACACCAATTTTCCTAATCCCTCTCTCGTTCACTCCTTCTATCTATCTTCCCTTTCCTCTATCCCCTCCTACGGCGACCCCCTCCTGCATCTGCACGGTCGCTTTTGTTGCAGTTAGCTCTCAATCTCACACTATGTATTTGTACTTTCCATATCCTAGCGTAGTGTTATATGCACTTTGTGTTTGGTTGGGTGTACACCTACATCCCAACCAAACCCAAATGTGATCTCCAAGTAATCTCCAACCCACCAATTGGAGATTGCCTTGGGATTACCCCCAATCCTTAGAGATTGCCTTCGATTCCCTTCAGAACTTTTCCTTGCCCATCCTGGATGTACTTCAAGAGCTTCGAGCTCATTACTAATGTATGGATTCTAAGCTCAAGTTCTGACAGCTTTGTCCTCAACCTCGTGTTAGTCTTAAAACGTACTAAAGTAGCTAGTAACGACCTTTAGGTGCACTAGAACTCTCTCCACGGGGTCACCTCCGAGGGTCCTTGGGTGCCTGACCGAGGTCAGCCCCTATCCAAGGGTCCGAGTGTGTAGAGAGAGAGTCGGAGCAACAGCTAAAGTGTAGTAGCAATCGTCCCTTCCTTGGCGTTGTCAAGAGAATAAACTATGGCAGCGTACTTGCAGCAGGCACAGGAGAAATCCTTTACTAAAGTTATCTTTGAACAAAGCAAGTACAACCATTTTAAACTGAACCTACTGCGATCTATTCTAGCATTTTCTGTTTCTACAGTTTGTGACTTCCTTCGTCGTAGCGCGCACATTTTTCAAAACTCCCGCCGCTTCATTTTGTGGTCTGGCGGGTTCACGTCTCTTCGCCAAAATATTTCGAACTTCCCGTGCGAACAGCTTCAACGGTGCCAATTCGTAAATATGCTTGGCGCCCTTTTCCGAACAGTTCAGATTGATTCCGTTCTAAGTGAGCGAAGTCAGCTTGTTCAGAACCTGTTAAAAAACCTGTTCGGAACCTGTTCGTAACCTGTTCAGAACCTGTTCGTAACCTGTTCGTAACCCGTTCGGAACCTGTTCGGAACCTGTTCGTAACCTAACCTGTTCGTAACCTGTTCGCGACGCGTGTTCAGAAAGAGTGCGAACATTATCCAATCAGCACAGTCCGTGTCCGTCAGTTCGAGCAGCAGCAAACTCGCAGCGCGGAATTGGGAATTCCGCGCTGTGACTGGTCGATACAAAACTGTTGAGTCAAAACGAGTCTGTGAACTGCTTCGCCGCTCCCCATTGGTCGAAGCTCAAAATCCCTTGATCGCTCGATAATAAACGACTCGCCCCACAGCTTGATATACAGAAAGTTATTTCTGTAATCAACACCTCGTGTCAACTACTTCTGCATTTCGCGGCCCTGTGTCAGAATTATGCTGTTATAACTGCATGTAGGTCTAGCGTTAGTGTAGTTATCTTGATATCCTGCTTGGTGGTGTACCCCCCCCCTTGTCCTGCCCTATATGTTGTGAGCCTCTCCATAGTGAAATCATTCCTTCTCATTTTCTCGACTCTCGCCTCCTTGGCTCCAACCATCTCGACCTCCTTTGGCCTAGGCTACTAAGCCTAGGCCCAATCAACCTAACCAATCTTGCTACTATTTCAACATGGTATTCAGAGCAGGAACCTTCCTGCTGCCTTCCTTAACGGGCCCACCATTTTGCTTCCGCTACATGTCGTCCTGCCGCGCGCCTAGGGCGCGCGGCGATTTTCTGCCCGCCGTGTGCTCGGGGCGCACGGCGGTTTTCTGTCCGCCGTGCGCGGCATCTACCTGCCTGCCTGCCTGTCCGTCGTGCGCCCCGTGGCGCGCGACGGTGCCCTGATCCGCCGCGGACCCGCCCCTGGCGCCCGCGACGGTGCCTTGCGCCGCCGCGGACCCGTCTCTGGCGCCCGCGACGGTGCCCTGAGCCGCCGCGGACCCGCCCTTGGCGCCCGCGACGGTGCCTTGCGCCGCCGCGGACTTGCCCCTGGCGCCCGTGACGGTGGCCTGAGCCACCGCGGACCCGCCCCTGGCGCCCGCGACGGTGCCCTGGGCCGCTGCGGATCCGCCCCTGGCGCCCGCGACGGCGCCTCTGCTTCACCTCGCGTCTGCCTTCGAGCAGCCGCCCCAGCCTCACATGCGCCTGCACTCGGTGCAGCCGCCCCTACCCTACCCGCGCCTGCCCTACTCAAGATTCTTGACCAGAATTAGGTTAGATCACCTATTTCCTCTTCCTACGGCGCTAGATCGTCGTTCCTCTCCTATCACCCCTTACCTCTCTCCTTACCACCTCCCCCTTTTTAGCCTATTTTTAGCTGCCCGAATATATTTTTTGCTGCCCTCCAGGGCCTCAAAACTGGGTCAAAAGTTTCAGGATTGTGTGTCAAGTGTCCAGATGCAAGCGTTTTGACGCTAGCGTCAAGTCGCTCGACTCGTCAATTCCAACATAGCTGGATGGTGCCTCTCCTACCTCTGCTCAGCTTCCACCCCGTCAGGCGATATACCAGTTCAGGGGGTGCTGCTTGCACCCGTGTCTTGCTGCAGGCAATTTAGAAGGTGTGGAATATATGTATCCCATTGTACATATTGCCTTTATTCAGCAGCGATTTCTGTGTAGATCATCTCCTCTCATTGTTGGTGGGTGGTGCACCACATTTGCCTACCCTTTCTTGTATATCTTGAGCTCTTGCCCTTTTTAGTGTAGTTTTCTTTCTTCCCAGGCTTTGAAGGTCCTCTTCACTTCAACAGATGAGGCACGTACAGGTGGGTGAGGCGGGTGAGAGTAGCGAGGGATGGAATGGACCCCACCAGGTCAATGTAGGTCAGATCGCTGTGGGGATGAGAGGCGAGGAAACAACAGTGGAGAAGGCAGCGGAACCATGGAAGGCAGCATGATGCGAGTGGGGCAGGGCCGGGAATATGTGTGAGTGAAGCATGGCAGTGAGTAAAATAACAGGAGAAAGCACGTGTTGGGCATGGCAAGCGAAGGACAGATGTGGTGGAGGCGTGATCCGCTGTATGCGTGGTGGATGCGCACTACGCTGCAAGCGCGCTGTGCTCTAAGCACACTGCGCTTGCATCCATCCAACATGGATGTAGTGGAGCGAGGAGGGCTGACGCACAGGTATTGCAGAGTGGCAAGATTAGTGATGGATGCAGGTATGGCGCCACTGGGGGGAGGATCCACTTCAGATAATTGCTTTGCATCCCTGCCAACACACACACACGCAGGCACGCAATGCCAGTGCTCCCATCCCTCCCTCACATCCCAACCCCACCCACTTCCCTGCCCCAGTATCCAGTCCAGACCAGTCCTCCCCATGCCACCCACCACCCCATCTCCACTTGTGACCCATCCCCCTCCTCGTTCAGATTTCGACTCGGTTAATCCCCACCCCCCCCACCCCCCCACACATGCACAACATCCAGCCACTCGGGATTAGTACACGATGATTGCACGTGTGCAGCCAATGGAAGGGTGAAACAGTGATGAGCCATGAGGGCGACGTGAGCACAGACGGGCACTGAGGAGCAACAGTCAAAGTGTCCATGGCAACGAGGACAAACGGCGACAACTAGGGTAATGGGGGGTGATCAGAGCACCGAGCTACAATTCAGGCCAACAAGGGCAGTGAGTGACGGGCAACGAGACTTACAGGGCAACGACGAGCCCGTTGGGGCTGCAGGTGACGCCAGTCCACGCAGAGCACGCCGTGGTGGCGTTATTGTTGCCCGCCCACGCGCCCCACGCCTCCTGCAGCTGCACCAGCGCGCCCACTGTCGGCAGGACGGGGAAAAATAGGATATTCACGTAATGGCTGCGTCTTCATTCCCGGCACATGTGCTCAGCATGACTTGAAAGTTGAGCTGGAAGGGCGGTTCAGGACCTGCCGCCCCTGCGCGCGTGCAAGTCTCGGTCTTCGTGAGAAACTGTCCTTTCTGCGCATGTTGTCGCGATCTCGATGGTTGGCCATTCGCCAGATCGACGTACCATGTTTATTGGGCCCGTTAGTTGTGATGCGACATGTCGTTTAGCGTATTTATGATGCGAGTGACCCCCAGCCCTATTCGTGACAATTTGTGTTAATACGGACTCTCGGAACACACATGCGCGGAGGATTGAACTTGTACGGAATGTATCATGAAAAACCCCATCCAAGCTTGCTGGTAACTCTGTGCGTGGTTGGTGGTATGAGTGGTTGTAACTTTACCGACAATGTAGCCTCGCACACACTGCCAGCGCTCGTTATGCAAAGCATAGACATCATCGCAACATTCCCCACTGTACATTGTTGAGACTGTATCTGTTCGTAGGTTCCGCAGGCATGGTGCGGTGTAGATCGACCGAATATTATGTAAGGCGTTCATCCATCGTAATCCACCCAGACACCAAACAAGGGCACGAAAGTCCCCACTCCACAGCTTGGTTCGCCACCCCCCTCGACAAATGTTTTGGGATGTTGGAAGTGGCACTGTGATGAACGACAACCGACAGGACGACAACCATCTTCCTGCAAGCTCATCGACTGCACGACAACCGACTCACATTGCGAGCCTTCCAACACGACGGGCCTTGCAGCGCTTGCGCCGGTCGATTTCGAGCCGGCCGCGGCGGCGCCTGGGGCGGTGTTGAGCTTTAAAAGCGAGCGACGAGCGCGGGTGGGTCGAGCGAGGCGAGACAGGCCACGCAGGTGTTGGGACAGACGCTGGGCATCTCGGCGCGGCAGCGGGCGATTGGCGGTGGGAAGGGAGCAAGCAGCGCCTGCGCCGGCAATGAACGAAAGGACCGCGAAAAGGAGAAGGCGAGCCGCGACATTTGCAGACGGAGGCCTCGCGGCAGGGCCACAGGAACGAGTTTTAGGCGGCGTGGAAATGCGCATGGTTAGAGTGCCTCTGAGAAGGGATACCAGATACCAAGCTCTGAGATGTGAATGATGGGAATGATACCGTGTGCAATCAGAATACTCGCAGACAACAAATGAAAGTGGAATCGAGGGGAAACGTATGTCGGATGCAAACAAACGAATCAAAACAGCGTGGCGTTTTTAGTTGGCTGGGGGTGACGAAGGTAGTTGGAGAGTCGGTGGGAAGGGTGGGGTGGAGCGGGGACGTGGCGAGGGGCGATAGATCCACCACACGAATATGTACGGTGCTGCCCTGCAACGGGCAGAAAAGTGCGACTCGGAGAGTCATCACCAGGAAAGCAACACCGATTTTTTTCTAGACACGGGACGGGACGTGGTGTGCAGTACTTCTTGAAAATATCATTTGCCAACCAGTGTCAGTTGGCAGTCGACCCACACAAGCAACCCTGGATTGGTTATTTCTTACCAAGCAGTACAGCACAGCGAGTTTGTATGAATCTTCCAGTCACGACAGTGCTAAGCTGGACAGATGGTCGAGTTGGCATTCCATCCTCATAATCCACTATTACACAAAACTCAAGAGTCAGTTAAGACAGTTGATAGAATTGTATGTTTAAAGTTATTTCATCCAGCCACATAACACTACATCATTCATAGAAAAAAACGATTTCTATTGGCAATAGCAATCCTCCACTATATAAGTAATCATTTTTTAGCTCTAAACGATCATTCGAGATTGTTCAATCATTATAATTTTTTGTTTGTTGCAGTTTATGTTACTGTTGTTGCTGTTGTTTGTTTGTTTTTGTTTTTTTTTTTCAATCTGATACACCACCTCAAGATTTGACCATATCAACTCAGACGGGATATGTTTTCGAGTATTCTAACATACTTTGGGATGCTGTTGGAACTATGAGAGAACTTCCAAGCATAGATTGAGGGCAGTTCATGTCAAAACATATTTCTATGTTCTTAGTTTTGCTATGCTACAGTGGGGTGGTCAGTATAGAGTACAACCCCAATTAGGGTTTCATACTTATATCTCCCTGTTGCTAGTCATTCATCATTCATGCACAGTTCTCGCGACATGGTTTCAGAGCAAAAACACGGTTTTTTTTTTTTTTTGGGCCCACCAAAACGACCCGCTCGAACATGCCCGGAACGCCTTTGCCCTGCCCTGCACTGCCCGTTCGGCGTCGCGCTGCCTGCCCTAGCGCGCTACCTGCCTGCGAGCGCCCCCTACCCGCACGCGATGCTGCCAACTGTTAGAAACTAAAACGAGAATGAATGCATTGAACAGAAGTTGGGTACAAGTGCTAACCCTAATTGGGTTGTACCCCTTATGGGCTACCCCACTATAGCCTACACAAAGTAAGCTCTATAACATTCTGACACACCCCCATAGGCAAAGTGGGGGAGAACAAGTGGTCACAAGACCAGTCAAGAAAAGCAAAGCAAGCTCGGGGTGGATCACGAAGTCACCACACATTCCGAGTGAAAGTAAAGGGCCACAACGCCAGTTCACATGCAGTGTTATATAAAAGAGAACAAACAGTACCGTGATCAAAACTTAGCAAGAGTAAGCATGCAGGAATATATACAGATCACAGTACAACAGAGTCTCGCAATGAGCAGGTGAGATAAAGTAGGCACAAGACCTAAGACAGTAGAGAAACGCTGATGATCACCAGAAAGCAGTGCCTTGGTGAATATATCAACAGTGTTGGCCCGAGTGGCCACGTACGCAAGACAGAGCTGACCACGCTGCTGCAACTCTTGAGCAAGGAAGTACCGCAGAGCGATGTGCTTAGTTCTGTGCTCGAGTCTGTGCTCCTGACACAAGACAATCATGGCCTTGTTGTCTACGTACAGAACTGGAGGAGAACGAGGCTGCTCTCTCAGGTCGGCCAACAGGTAGGTGAGCCAGCGTAACTCCTGTGCAGCGATGGCCCCTGCGTAGATCTCAGCCTCACAACTGGAGCTGAGAACCGAGGACGAGCGGGTAGACCGCCAGGAAACAGAGCAGGAACCAAGGCTGAAGGTGTAACCCTGTGACGACTGCTGCGTAGCCAAGTCGTCAACCCAAGAAGCGTCTGCGTGTCCACTGAGGACAACTGGACCCCGTCCTCAAAGCACGAGCCCCATGCCCGAAGTACTGCACAAGTAGCGCAACACCCTCTTAGCGGCCTCCGAGTGCTCTGGTCGGTGTCTCCCGGGCGCAACGTAGCGTGGCAGGATGCTAAGAGGGTAGGCAAGGTTAGGTCGAGTGCAAGTCATCAGGTACATGAGGCAGCCCACAAGCTCTGGATACAGGCCACTCGGCTCTACGGACTCGTCCGAAGGTGGAGCTGAGAGCGAGTGACCGGTAGGCAGAGGAGTGGACTGTGGCGAGTACCAGGAGCCGAAGCGCTGAAGGACCTGGTGCACCATGTGTGACTGAGTCAGGGTGATGGTGCCCTGTGCTCTGTCCCGGGTGATCTGCAAGCCAAGATAGCTGCGCAGCTCACCCAGGATAGTGCAGGTGTGTCTCTTCTGCAGCTCCGACTTCACAAGGGCCAGTGCCTTAGTGTTAGCAGTGGCAAAGACCAAGTCGTCGACGTACACGAGGACGTAGAACGCGGTCAGCAAAGTTTCGGTGCGTAGAAACAGTGACGAGTCAGCAGTCCACGGAGCAAACCCAAGAGCCGCAAGTGTAGCCCTCAGTGTGTCGTGCCATTCGCGAGGCGCCTGGCGGAGACCGTAGACTGGCCGCCGGAGGCTCCACTGGGTACCTGCAGGAAACGACCCAGTGAAGCCAGATGGGCGGCGCAGCCAGATCTCCTCGTGCACGCTGCCCTGAAAGAAAGATGTGCTGAAGTCAAGAGAGTGCAGCTCGTAGTCACGCTGGGCTGCGACGTGCAGCAACACCCTAAGTGTGGTCATCTTCGGGGTAGGGGAGAAGGTCTGGAAGAAGTCAACTCCCTATCGCTGACTGAAGCCTCGTGCAACATAACGAGCCTTGAAGGCAGGCGGAGAACCCGCCGGCTTCTTCACCCTGAAAATCCACAAGCCATCGACTATGTTCGCCCTAGAAGGGGGAACTGCGTCGACGCAGGTGCCTGTGGACTTCAAGGATGCCATCTCTGCGTCCAAGGCTGTCTGCCAACGAGAGGAGTAGGGACCCGTAATCGCCTCTGCGTAAGAGCACGAGGTCGGGATGTCTGGTGCATCCGGGTCTCCCTCAGGGGCAAGCAGCATGGCCACGAGATGAGGTACAGCAGCTGCAAGACACTCAAAGTCCTCCTGCGTGTCCTCAAGGACGTCAGTGCCAAGAGCACACTCACCCCCGACGGACGGAGGACTGT